ATTATTATTATTATTATTATTATTATTATTATTATTATTATTATTATTATTATTATTATTATTATTATTATTATTCATCAAATGTTAATTATTTGTATTTAACTTTCTTTAGTTCAAGCGATGACAAAGTACTTAAGGTATTCTTAAGTTTGTTTGATGATTCTAAAGTTTGTTTGATGGAAATCAAATAACAATAATTAGTTTAATTATGATAAACAATTAAGCAGTCCAACATACCTTTCAGTTATCGAAATACCGAGTTCGAAAGTGGAGAGTGGCTTAACGCTATACTATGGGACGATCATAAAGGCTTTGCTCCTTTTGCAAAATTAACGTTAGATATGAATGATCCGAACATGCTTTTCAATTATTCTGCTATTGACTTACCAGCAATAACTAATCCTGATTTACAAGGTTGGTCTTTTGTTAAATAAAAGTTAATTTGATTTATATTAAATGTGAGCTTTTATTTTTTATTCGTCTAATAGGTCAATATGACGTTAAAAAAATAAGAAAAAAATCTCCAATGGTGAGAGAAATCATAAATTTTTAATAATTAATGTGCTTAATAGTCAACAAATTAATTTATACTTTACTCTTTATAGGAGATTGATAAATCATTAAATTTCGATGCATATAAATCTGTTGCTTTTGACGACAGCCCACCTTATGAAACATCTTTCGATAATGAGCAAATGGAATTTAAAAGACGGCTCAATTCCGGACAAATGTTTGTGCATCATTCTTTGCCCGCTCTCCAATTACACATTCAATATGTAATACATTTTTTATCCTTATCTACTCATGTATTTGGAAAAAATTTGTTCTGATAAAGTGCACTGAATTTTTAGTTTAAGACAAAATTCACAAAGTCCGATATTCGGGCATTGCATCGCCCGGCGATTCAGTTCCCTCTTAACAATGAGATCCATCTTAGCAGGATAAAGTCACATAAGAAATTGAAAAAGAGAAAACATTGTCGAAAACGAGAGGAAATGCGGAGTCCAAAAGATTTAACATTGAAAGATAACAGTAATTTTGTTTTACTAGAGTATTCGGTAGAAATTTTTTTAGCTCTATAATATCAACTACCTTGTGTATTTTCTTAATTTACGAAAATTTTTAATTGAATTACAGGAAGAATATCCACCAATTATTTCTAACATTGGAATGGGAAGTTTGTTACTTAATTACTATCGTAAAACAGACCCGTACGACACTTATGTTCCTGAGGTAATGAATTGTTACGCGAAAACTAACTTTTATCAAAGTAGACTGAACGATCAGTTTTTATTCATTTCAGCTCAGCGTAGGTGATCCGGTAATACTTGATATGATGGATGAATCGCCTTTTATGAATTTTGGGGACGTTGAGCGAGGACAAGTCATACCTTCATTATTTAATAATTTGATTAGAGCTCCATTATTTAGCCATGATGCCAAAGACACTGACTTCTTGGTCATTAGGTTCGTTCAATATGCCATTTGCTTATATCTGTCACTCTCGTTATAATGAACTCTTGACATATATATGTTGTAACTTGAGCCAATTGAATATAATATGGACAAAATATGAACCTAATAATTTTCAATTGGATACAAAGCATTTGGATTATGTCTAAACTTAAATAAGGACAGTCTTAATAACAGCACTATTCGATATAATGAAGATTCTATATGAAGAAGAATATAATGAAGATTTTCTTATTTAGCCAATGGCTTCGCTATAACGAGAATGACTTATACTGCCCGGAAATAATTTGTAGTGTATTATGTTAACTGATGCAACTTTGCAGACATACTTATAAGGCTAAGTCGAAATATTACGTGCGTGAAATAAAAAATCTTTTCGTTGTCGGACAAACTTTTCCAATGCAAGAGGTGCCTTCACCACCATCTCGAAAGGCAAAAACGACAGCAAATAACAGGATTCAAGTTGCTGCATTTAGTCTTATGAAAAATAATAGGTATCATTACCTAATACAGGATAAGCTTGCTAAGCGATTTCCTGATCATACAGAATTTACGCTTCGTACGCGTTTAAAGGTACCAGATATTAGATTCTATATGAAAGTTCCAAACGTGCCATCAGCTATGTTTACGATTGTAATTCGAATTATGTGTAGGATATTGCCGAATTAGCTCGTAAGAAAGGAAATGTTTACTCGGGTCCAATATGGAAATTGAAACCGTCAATCCGTCTTCCAAGCGAGGAAGAGCTTCGGAAAATGTTGACACCGGAAATGGTTCATATAATTTTGAATTTAATATAATTTTGTAAATGTGTCCTATGCCTCTTAATAATTCAATTATTATCTAGATATGCTTAGAGGAAAGCATGATGGTTGGTGAACGGCACTTGGCAGATGCAGGATACAAACCTTCAACCAACGAAGAAGAAGATGGCGGTAGCAAAGCCAAAAATGACGATGATGATGTTCAAGATGATTCTAAGCTCGCCTTGGAAGAGTCCAAGCTACCGATTGAACAACAATTGGCGCCTTGGATAACTACACGGAACTTTTTAAATGCCACACAAGTAAGAATAATGATGTTATTTATTATTTTGCTATTACTATTAGACATTTAAATCACAATTTGAAATTTAATTATTTATCTCAGACAAATGCTATGTTGAAATTACATGGCGAAGGTGATCCAACAGGAAGAGGCGAAGGCTTTAGCTTCATTAGGATCTCTATGAAAGATATTTTTTTGAAGGCTGGTGAAACTGCCCAAGAAAAACTTGGTTATTATTATGAAATTTACGTTTAAAATCAAATACAGCTTTGATTTTGTTTTCTAAATTACTATTTTTATTACTTTTCAGCGGAAATTGTAAATAAGCCTAAAAGTGGACATAAATATAATGTTGTAGAACAATGGAAAAGATATGGTCAAGAGGTATTATTTATCATTTAATATTTTGTAGAGCGCATATATGCATATTAAATTCATGTTCCTTTCATAGGTTTATCGAATTTGGAATGCTCAACTCTCTTCGCTTAGCAGACGTGATGAAATAATATCTGATACGGAATTAGAAAGGCATGATGACTCTCGTATTACGGAGTCTGGGCAGTACTTGCAAGAGCAATTTATGAACAATGACGACAATCAGGTATACTAAATAAAATCTGGTTTATCTTATTATTTGCATATTCTGACTTAATTTTAAACTATCACAGATGGATATTGACGCTGAGATCCAGGAAATGATTGATTCAACCATGCCTAGTAGTGAAATGTCGCCCTCACCGGCTTTAGCTGATTTTGAAGACGTAGCCTCTCCTGACGGTAGTATTGGTTCAAGGGCAAATTATAATTGTGGCTCCCATCGTAATAGAGCACTATCTATAAATAGATTGGTAAATACATGAAGAAAGAAACAGTTTGCTTTTTTTTTTCCTAGGAAAAATCAATTTTTTTTTTTTTTTTTTGTAACTAGATACGGACAGAAAATGGCGAAAAATTTTGGACTAAAACTCTTGTTACAGATCCAGCTGTAATCAATGCATATGTTCGTAACAGGCAATTAATTGAAGAACAGTTATTAAGGTATTGCATTGATGATGTCCATAAATACATACATAATATAATTGATAATATTATAAAATTTTTAAATAGTGCTGAGTTATTAGAACCAACTAATGACGAAGAAAAAAACAAAAGAATGAAAAAGAGGTAACCTTTAATCATTGCGTATATAATTATATAACTTTAATTATTAAGTTTATCATTAATGATTAGAATTGAAGATCAATTGGCCAAGCTCCGACGAAATCAAGAAAGACGTCAACAACGTAAAGCTGCACGTGAGGCAGCTAAGGCGGCAGTATCAGCAGCAACATCTACTCACACAGCCATCACAAAAGAGAAAAAACATGAGACAGTCGTACGTATAATTTATTATTATTATCCTATTACCGATAAAAACTGATAAGTTATTATTTTATAGAGACGATGTGGTAATTGTGGTCAAAGTGGCCATATGAAAACAAATAAAAAGTGCCCACGATATGGACTAAGTTCAATCGTTGATACACCTACGACAGGTCCATCATCTTCCCCTGCCAGTACACAAGATTCTTCCGTCATAGTTAAAATGGAAGGTAGCAAAATATCGATAATACCAAAAGCAAAAACTGAAAAACAGTAATCCTGGCCAATGATGAAAAAAAAATTGACCAAAGCTAATTTTTAGCTTTGTCGATTTTCAAAGTCGGCTAATCAATTTCTTACAATAATAATTCACGCATAAGCTTTTGATTATTACAAAAGTTGCTTTCTTGTATATTATTGAGTCATGCTTTCTTTAATATCAAATATTTTACATATAGTGCGTAAGCGATTTACTCTAGAATATTTTAATTGTTTTTAATTAGCGCTATAAACCGTAATTCGGATTTTTTAGGTTATCCAATATCCAATAAAAAGAATGTGTCATTTATTTGTAAGCTTTAGATCCTGACAATTCAAAGTCTCGTAGATATTGAGTCTCAACCTCATAAATATTTGTGTGCTGAAGCCTGCAAGCGAATATTTATCACTATGGCCATAATATTACATATTAGTTGATCTACATTCATGGATAATATATGATATGGCGCTAGATATAACATATATATACCATATAGTTTTTCCCATATAATCACATCATGTAATTACATTTTCTAAACTATATACGTTTTAATTTATAAAAAAAAAGAATTTGGGTCAAAATCCCGAAAAACGGATTCCCGAAACAACATAATACCGATAAAGTTAGCCGGCACTAGCTACAGTGAAACATCAATAAATGCACTCCCTCTCTAAATGCACTCAATCTCTGGCCCAAATATATGCATGACCTCTATAAATGCACTTTTTCTTATTGTTCTCTAAATGTACGTTGCTAAAGTTCAGTCCCAAGAGCGTGCATTTGTGGAGGTTTCACTGTATAATGCTGGCCAATTTAGTTGGTGTTATGTTCTTTCGATAATCTGTTGCTCATGATTTGACCCAAAACAAAAAAAAATCTTACATATAAGCATAACTCCTTTATAAGCATATTTTTAAAAGAATTTACTACATGCCCAAGTGTGCATGTATGGGTGCTATTTAATAGAAAAGAGATTTAAGGGTAGGGTGAACATATGGATATGGGGCCCAGTGTATTAAATTCATGTGCACAATTTTATTTTAGTGTGCACAATTTCTTCTAATTAACATATAAGTTGTGTACAATTTTATATAAAAATTTTTAAAATGTGCACAAAAAAATACAAAAATTAGTTTCAGATTTTATACACTGATGGGGCCTTTGCAGTAGAAAGGGTGGATATATCAATATATATAATTTTGTTTTGATTTCGAACTGATCCGGGTTAATCAAAGTTCACGATTTTGATTGGCTAAAGATAACATGTGCCTAATAGGTAATCTCGTAATGCACTTGGTTTCAACTTTTTTTTACATTACATACAGTATCTTGATTTTTTATTATGCAAATTGACTTTTATTTATAATTTTTTTTTTTTTTTTTTTTTTGTGTTGACAGATCTGGCCAAAACTCATCTTATTTATTAATATTTATAATGACATAAATACATAGAAATGTAAAGATAGAAGTCTGGTACTACTTGGTTTCATATTGTGGTGCAAAAACCTAGCTCAGGTCTAAGTTGTAACTCCATCCTACCAGATCACAGATGACTGGAATTATCCCAAAAATAAAAAACAAAAACGAACTATGACTAAAAAGGGGAAATAAGCAAAAGAGAGAAAAGGGAAAGAGCAAAGTAAATAAAAAATAAAAAAAACCCAAAAAAGAAAAAATGAGAAAAAATAAAAAAAACTTTCATAGAACAAGGATAAAAAGTTGAGAGAGATTGCACTTCTCTTCATAACCAGGATGCACTATTATAACCTGTGCAAGGTTGAAAAAATTATATAACAAATGCAACAATTGTATATCTCTAGTGTAAAGCTTTGCCTTAACGTTGAAAGTTCTTCTGACTTATGACCACTTTCAGATATCTTTTTAACCGGAGGCCCCGATCCGACTTCCCTGGAGTAGCGCCGTACTTGTAAACAGACACGTCACATGGTTGCATTTTACTGAGTCCGTCTGAATTTGGAAAGTAAACAATGCCGATCTTTTGAAGAAGGTAAGCCAAATCCCCACTTTTTGTAAAAAATTTTGGAAGACCGAGAGAAGGAAAGAAAAGAGTCACCAAACCCAAAAGAAAGAGTGCAGCTTTAGAAAAGAAAAAGTTTTGTTGTTTCCTCTGTGTTCTTCTTTGAAGTAACGACCTAGAAACTTCGATGACGAAGTTGAGCTTTTTGCCCATACTCCACCAAGATTTTATATACAAGGGCACCTCTTGCCAGTTATCTTGTATAATAATGCTCCTGGCTTGCATGCCAAATATCTTTTTAGAGGAGTCCTGCAAAGCAAACTGCAACATAGGCCACGACTCTTCAACAAAAATTTTGTTTTTCAATTAGTGGGAAAATTTGGTTTTAGTGATCGTCGGAAAGAGTGATTGTTATAAATATCCTGTTTTAATTATCTTAATTTGAATTTGTAAATAGATATTATTAAAATATTTAATTTTTAATCTGAATTTTATCTAGTTATAATATATTATGAATTTATAAATTATAATAACAAGTAAGCTAAAATTCAATTATCCAATTCTTGGTAAAATATCAAAAACAGGTTATCTAGCTTATAAATTATAAAATTAGTTTAGAATTAGTATATTAATTAATGGATTGGATTTACTAATTTGTACTAAATTCAATACAGTTTATAAAATAGATTAAAATTTTTAAAAAATTATATATAAATATTTTTATATACAATAATTTGTTAGATATTCTAAAATAGTTTAGCACTATTTATTTTATTATTATTAAAAAAATTATTTTTAAATAATTTTTTTCAAATATTTAATTATTTGTAAATTTTTTTTTTTTTTCCGGTATTAAGGTGATTTCTTTGGCCGGGAAATGTTTTATTAGATAGTTATGTTTTTCAATTACAGTAAGGGTACATATAGCCACACGTGCACCTTTTGAGTGCCTAATT